CCGGCAAGACCCCCCCTCCGGTAGCCAAGAAACCTTCGCTTGGCCCAGGGACAGCTCCTTCCCCCCTGAGCCCAAAGGCTCCGGGGATGGAGGCACTGAGCTCCCCGGTGCCGGACGGGAAAGCCAGGGCAGTGCCGGCGGAGGAGAGCAGGACTAAGAGCGAGCCGGCAGGGACGGCGGCCTCGGGGACAGAGGGCAGGAGCACCGCGGAGTCACCGGCTCAGAGCCTCCCTGCACAAGGTAGGTGGGATGGGAGCCTGGATCAGCCCGGCCATGGGATGATCCCACTGTAGGTGCTCCAGCTCCTGAGCTGTCGGCTCCCAGCGCAGCACCCAGGCTGTGTTGGCAGAGCCCGACCGTGGGGCCAGGCTTGGGGCAGGGCTGGGGGAAGCTGTGGCTCAGGGGGACTGATGGGTTCTTGCCTCCTACCTTGCAGATGGACGGGGAGAGACGGCCTGAAGGACGAAGCTGCAGGACTGGTGCCCCCATGGACAGGAATCCAAATCTCTCAGGGACCTGGGCAGGTCAATGGACGAGTGTGGAACTGGCAACTAACTTAATACAGGAAGCAAACAGCCTTAGCCTCCACGGCCTTGATATTTATGCAAAAATGGTGTTGGTTTCACTTTCCTCAGTACTACAGCTTTATTTTGCCTTTTTTTTTTTTTTTTTTTTTTTTTTTTTTAACTGGACTCGAGGCCCATGCCCAGGGCCAGCACCTCCTCCTTGCCGGGCTGCCGCTTGGCTTGTGCGTGTGGAGCAGAGCAGTGGCCTGGAGAGGAGTCCAGGGGCGAAGACACTGGAGTTGCTCTGCTCCCTGCCAGCCAGAACTGAAGCACTTTGGACAAGGGAATGGGAAAGCTTCAGCCACGGCAGTGCCCGGGGGAACGTGGGAAGGAGCAGCAGGATGGGACGGAGACGCTGGTTGGCAGGGACCAGAGCCTCAGCCCTTGATGGAAAGGCAAGAGGGGACTCTTGGCCAGCACCGATCTCTGCCCGCTGGCCGCAGGGTGGAGGGGGAGCCCAGCTGCCCCGTGAG